CCTACAGAGCAGTAGTCATTCTGTGCCAGCTGTTTAAGAGAAGAATGTCCTAGTGAAAGCAAACAATAGGCTGTGTAGTGGGAATTGCAAATCTTTGAAAAGAGTAATTGAAATCTGCTCAGACATTTCGAAGATTCTTTGCACAATATTCTAAGCCTGTTGGTGGCTTAGTCATTGGCAGGGTGGTCCTCTTTGTAGATCCATCTTTTTTGTATGAACAGAATAGCACAAATATGGAGGGGAAAAAAAAAAGAAAAAGGAAAGAAGACAGGCGTTCAAGTCCAACTGATTCTTTTCCTGTTAGAGCAGCTGAAGAGAGAAAGAGCATTTTAAACGTCTTGCAGTGAAGACTCAAAAAAAAAGTACAGAGCTTCTTCATTTATCAGGTGTTCTCTGGCTCAGGCTCTTCCACTCGTACCATTTAAGGACTCCAGCAGATAAACTCTGGTGGATCTGGCTGTATCTGCCAAAGATGTTCTAGCCCTCTCTGCTACGCGGCGCTGTTTATTCTCACCCTGTGCCGGCAGGCATTGATGCTGCACAGAGCAGGGAGAGCTAAACATGTTCCAGGCTGCAGGCAGCCACTCCAGTAGCAATGCTTCTGACCTCTAATACTAATAAAAAGTCAGCTCTGTGCTTGCAGGCTCTTCACTGCACCAAAAGTGTGGATTTTCACCTGATGAGGGAATTAGTTAGGAGGATCCTTAGGTCTTCAGGCTTGAAAAATAGGCATTGAACTTGATACTTAAAAGTGGCCTCAAAATTAAGAAAGTTGTCTTTGGTACCCTGAGAAAACCCTAACAATACTCATTTTAGTAGCCTTAGGAAGTTGACAATAAGAACGTTGTATCCAGTGTACAAATAGCCATTTAATATCCTCTATGAGGCAGATTAAGAAGAATTTCAAATACTGCCATCTGTATCCAACAAACTGTCCAAAATGGATGTGGGGTGAATTAGTACAAACTGGAATAAGGAGTGAATGAATACAAACCGTTTTGCAGATGAAACTAGGTTAATGATGCTCTGTGCATTCAGAACTCCCCCCGCCCCCACCCCGACCTTCTGAATTACAAATACCTTTAATTTATAGGCAGCCAAAGATATGATTCTTTTCTTTAGACAATACGCAAGAGTTCTTTAATCCATCACTGGAATATGAAATACAAGAACCAAATCCTTCATTTACTTCCAACTTCTGAAACTGCAGGGAAATCAATAAAATTGTGCAGGGAGTTATGTTAATGTAGAATTTGACCCCCTGCTGCTTTACTCATCTCTGATGTAAATTCACTATGGCCATGGAGTTATATTGGGGCTGACTTTGTCCAACAAATCTGAAAATTTAAATTATATTACCATATGTACTATACTGCATTGTAACATTTCCCATCTGTTTCAGTCTCAGGAGAGAAGCGTTGAATCAAGCTGATTTCTTCCAAGGCAAACCACAGAAACAGCACTGCATAAAATTGTTAGCCCTCTCACTGAACTAAGGGGAAAAAGAAGAGCATGTCCCACTTGAAACTTTAATCATCTGATAAGAATTGTTTTAATTACAAAGTTAGGCAATGAAAACCAAAAATCATGCTTTTTTTTCCCCACACAGCCTTTGGGTTTTATCTTGTGAGAAGCTTAAAGTATCCTGAATTAAGTAGTTACAGTTCAGCATTTTACACAAAGTGCTATGTAGAGCAAGCTGTAACAATTATCAGTTTCCAATGGTTCCCTTTCACTTAGCAGCTCAGAAGCTGAATCTCACTTTCATGATGTTTTGGATCTGTCAGACTGGTTGTACAGTCTGGGAAACTTGCTTGTACGCAATGGCTTTTCCAGTTTTTCTTTATTCTTGCCAGGACAGACCTACTGCAAGACATGTTGCAAAGAACCCTCCAATGTTATAAACTATTCCTGGTCTTAGCTAAAACCAGAAATGCAGAAGTATGTCTTTGAGATATACCTTGAGGGTGATGTTTTTTTTAAAGTTCTGACAAAATGTGCTGGGGTTTGGTAATTTTTTTTCACTTAATTGATCCTAATAATGTTGAGCATGAAGCTATTGCTTTTCTTTAGAAATATGTTAGGCCAGCTTCCTGTGGAATAAAATTGGAAGTGTTCATGTGTTCAAAATTAAGATTACCTTGACACTTGGACTCTGACCGTAGAAGTCTTCATTGACCGCCCAAGGAGTGGGCAGGATGTATGTTTAAAGAAAGTAATAAATCTATAAAATCATCAGTAATCACATCAGACCTTGAATTTATGTCAGTTTCTGCTTGGTTTAAGACACGAGTCTTTGTGCCATTTGGCATCATTCACTTTAAAGACAAGAAGCACTTTAAAATCAGATTACTGCACAGTAGTGAGAATTTATGCTAGCGCTACAACTAAATAGCCACAAATAAAGTGATTGCAGCCTGCTGCTTATTTTTAGAGTGACACCAAATGGCACAAAAGGTGATGTGCCAAAAAATATTGTAATGTAAGAACAGAGGGATGGAAAAATCTCATAGGCATTTTACCAATAATCAGAAGAGTGACTGAAAAATTACGCAATAGTCCCTCTAAAAGGCATAGAATGCACTGAATTAAAATTAAATTCTTACTTACTGTGTATCCTGCTCTAATGCAAGTGGTTACCCTTATTAAAAGGTTTGATCTGTCAGACACTGAAGATCTTCAGTTCCCACCAGACTAATTAGAAGTTGATGTTCTTTAGGTCTGATCCAAAGCCCAGTGAAATCAAGGGAGGTTCTGATCAGGCAATGGTTACCCTTAATCAGGAATGAATGATACACATTCTGCAGATTATAGCAAAAGAGGTCTATCTCTACTAAAAAGACAGATGTATAAATATAATTGTCTGAGTTACAGAGTCAGCCTATTGAGAGATGACTTTGGAGGGGAAATCCCAGAATAACATCTCAATACAGATGGTCATTCAGGACTATCTTCCTCCCTCACAAAAAACAGTTTAGGCCATGATGTTGTTGAGGAATAGCTAATAACAAAACAAGTATAACCATCTCTTGCATCCATCAGATATTTTTCTCAAAATTACTTTTGTAAGTTCAGAAACAGGTATGACAAGTATCTGGGCAACCCCAAAAAGGAAGCAAGGTGATAGATATGTAGCAGTCTGCTCTATCCTGCCCCTCGTATGACTCAGTTTGAAATGACGGTTCTGCCAAAAACAACCCCCACCAAGTAAACAAACAAACAAAAATGCTCCTTGCACTTTGTTTACCCATTAGCAGTTTTGAAACAAGAAAATTCTTCTGCCATTGTTTGTCATGCTGGACACCAGCTGAAGCCAGTGGGGCCGTTGTGTAACAATATTGCTGATGGGATATTGCTGGTCCCTATTTCAAAGCAACGCTTATGTAGCAGGGTGACCTTTAGAAGTTGCATGAAGAACATCATTCAAGGATGCGTGACTGAATACAGCAATTTGTGAAACATAGATGTTGAGACAGAACAATGTGACAGATTCAGCCACTGTAGACCACATTACCTTGGAGAATAACGATAGCCCTCTGAAGATAAAGTAGAACGTTTTGGGGGTTTTTTTTATGTTTTTAACATAAATCATACTTTGAAAGATTAGGAAAAAGCCAGTAATCAGCAAGGAAAATAGAGGTATTTTGTGTTTTACTTGGTAACAAATATGCCATAAGGATATTCTTTAATCCTGATATTTCTAAAATTTCTGAAAGCTGCAGAAAGGTTGCAGCATTTGGACCTTCTAAAGACAAATGAAGGGAACAAGCAACGATTTGTTTAAAATGCAAATACTTATTTGTACCAGAGCAGGCCTGGGGGTTTTTTTCCATTTTGTAATTCGAAAGACATATTGGGTGGGTCTCGGAGCAAGGACAGTTTGGCTACATGATGTAATGATCCTTTGCCTGAGAATCCAGCCTTTTCTATACATTGCCAGTGAAACAGTTCGTGTCTCCTTTCCACGATACCTCTGACAGGCAAGTACAGTATTATGATTAACCATCATTCTTTTACGCTGCTTTCTCTTTCTTGCTCTGCATCTGAGTAAAGAGGAAAACGTCTGAGACTGGCGCAGTGGCAGAACTGTTCAAAAGCCAACTTTTTTGGCAGACTAGCATCCCTAGAAGTAAGAAAGTTTTGGTTTCAGTCTGAAAGTGCAGGAAGTAGCCATCCTTTTTGATGTGAAACTTGGGAAATCTGTGAACCATCATTCATTAATACTCCTTCTCCATTCAACCTGGTAGCAATTCTTCCTCCTACAGGACATGAAGCAGGAAAGGTTATTTAAGATGGACCCACTCTGATTCTTCACAGCCTGCATTTAAGTCTTTTATCAATTGAGGAGTCATTCCTGGTACTTCCAATCACATGGTGGACAAACCTTACAAAATATTACATCAGTACCATTAAATCTGAAAATGTCCTAATAGATAGGTATGCCCAAATTGGCCCTTATGTTCTCATGTACCATGTGAAATGGATTTAATTAATTAGCTGGTTGTTTTAAGACAATTCCAGCTGAGAGAATATCTGTAGGCCTTGTAGTTGAAAACAAAATCTTGTTAAGCCATTTATTTTCTTATATTTCCACCTCTTTTCCTGACTCCTATGAAACAGGCACTATTTCAGACTTTTCAAGTACTCAGCACTTAGCTGACAGGAGAACATGCAGACAAACCAGGCCATTCTGGCTCAGCAAGCTAATGAGTTCATTATGAGAGTCCATTTGTTTCCATTACTGATCACAGGACGGAACAAGTATGTTTGATTTTCTTATAAACATCATCATAATACCAGACAGGGAGCCCAAACCATTTGCTTCGAGGTAGACGCTGTGGCATTCTTTTCTGCTCAGTAAATGGAAAGCAGCGATGCTGCAGATGCTGGGATGGATTCTTCCATCTACTCCAGTTGTAGGGGAGAATTATAGCATTTCCATTGAAAATGAACAATGTATCTCCTTTCTACTTTGTCCTTTGGTTAAGCAATGTATAAAACAGTGCTGGAAGACACAAGAAATAGAGGTATTTACTATGGCAGAAATGTAAAAACACTTTTTGAAGTAGCCATCCTGTAAAGCAAATGACCAAAACCAGGTCAGAGTAAGGAAGCACAGGCTTTGTACAGTTAAAAGTCCATAAAAAGCAACAGAAGGACCCTTCTTAGCTTCAGCAGACTTTGGATCCAGTCAAAGTTAGAGGCAAGGCCTCCTTCATCTCAGTGCTTTAGCCTTTACCAGATTCACTTTAAGTAACAGCAAAAATTGTTTGCTTGACTCATTGTGTTCGTGATGAGATTCTCACAGATCAAAGCTTTTCGGGTTTGCTTCCCAAGCCATCATCAAGCTGCTGCTGGAGGATCATGAGTCACCTCTGTGTGGACTATTGCCCTTTCGGAGGCAGAACCAGACAAGTTCAAGATGTTCTTTAATTTCTAACCATTTAGTCACATCTCTGCAAATGGGATATGTGAGTCTGCTACTAATGGAATAGCTGGACATTTACTTTGTCCAAAGTGGAAAAAAGCCTGTGGTTTTTGAGGATACTATTAGGAGATCTTTTCTTTTTGCCATATAAGTGTGGTTAAGTCATGATCATGGTGTTTGCACAAATGCAAAGCCAAAAGCAACTACAAAACAAGTCAGCTTCTCAGGTCATAGTACTCAATAACACATTCCCATTCACCTCACTGGACTTGGGATTATGTCCCATATAACTGTCATCTTTCAGGCCTACAATGACCATGTTTGTTTTCCCCAGTACACATTTGGGATCTTTTATGTACCACACTTACAGGTCCTTTGAGACTAAATGGTGATTTTCCTTTCAGCTTTCCTTGTTGGTCTGCTTACATACAGCTGCTAGTCTGCTTAGAAAATGGGAAATAATTCAAAACCAGCATACGATGAAGATTCTGTTGCCTTTTCTTCTTTTCTTCACTTTTTAGGCTGGCCCAGGGAAACGCTACTCTCAGCAAAATTTTAAAAATGTGAATGCTCAGTAAACAGCATAAATGCAAAGTTATTCAGGCTTTCAAATACTAAACTTTAATGTTTTGTACAATGACGCAAAGATTGACACAGCTTCCAACAAACCATTGCAATAACCGCCATATATAAGTGAGGTGCTGTAAAGCCACCATATTTGCAGCTTTGGGAAGAAGAATAGATTTTGCATTGCCATAGGTGAATACTGTTGAGTTCTAATATTTTTTTAAATCTTAGGCTAATATATATGTTTTGAAATCAATAAGAATATCTGGCTAAGGCAAGTGTGTGACTGTTTTGCTGCAAGTCTAGAAGTAGGCAAGTCAGCTTTTTTACAACCTTATTATTCCTATATGTTACTTGCCAGTGCTTTAGCACAAATCAGCTTTCCAAAGGGTTTTGGAGCTAACAGTTAATCTTTATGAGCATTGCAAAATGCATTATGTCATAACATGCTGACACACAGATCTACATCTGAGCACAGAGGGGGTGTCTTGAACAGACTAAGTCTTCCCAGATGTAAGTTCCCTTTGGAAACCTATTTAATACTTTCATTCTGCCAAAGGCCGCAACGGTTTTCATTGCAGCTCTCCTAACTTATTTCTTAATTCATTTAACAATGTCCAGAAATTTAGAAGCAAATATGAATGTCATTATATCCAGATGGCTACATTTTTTGTAGTTTCTTTCTGTTAAATGGTGCCATCTACTGTAGAATAACTGAATGACAACCTTGTAAAAATGCAGAGAAATCTGCTTTATTTCCTTATTACTGTAAAATGATGTCTGTCGTTTTGTGCACATTTTAAATTTCCATGATTTTCATCGATATTGTTGGCTAAAATATGGAAAGGTGAGTATTCTCAGTGTGAAAAATTGGTCACGTAAGAAAAACCTCTGCTTCAGAAAAGAGCAGCTGTCTTGAAAACAGAATTTTTTCTAACCAGCAGTGCAAAAGTATGGGAAAGATGGCCTTTCTCTGCTCCGCATTTCAGTTGTTCTCTTCACTGTAAGGCAGCAGGATCACATCTCTGGAAAGAACAAAACAAATCAATTAAAATGAAGTAAGGATGAAAAAAAATTTGACATATGAAAATGCAAATTCTTATATATGAATTTCCTAGTGAATAAGAATCTTGCTGTCTTAAACACATAGTTAAAAAAAATTGTGGTTTTGAAAGGATATGAGAGTGATACCGAGAGCTAAAAATCTGAATATTAAAAATAATCAAACACATCTTATGGGGACAAAAGTGTGTGTACACTATGCTTTTTTTTTATATGTGTATGCAATTCATATAACTGTACATTACATGTGTGCACGGTAACAGTATTAATTATTTTAGATCTGTATCATGGTATTTTTATTTAACAATTATGTATAAACTATGTTTTGCCCTAAACTAATGAAAAATAATCTCTTCCCTTCCTGATTATGTTTGTAAATGAGAAGGATGTTTTGGCCTGTGGAGCTGGGAAGTGCTTAAGCAGAGCGACAGCTCAGTACATCGCTCTCGGGTGAAGTGGACCTATGCCCACCCATGCTCTCTAGGGTGTATCCAACCAGCTCCTTTTAGATGGATAACAAGCTCTAACCTCCCCAGTAGCTTTTATGGTATTCTGCCTCCCACAGTATACTGCTTTGAGGTCTTCTTGTATACAGTGAACCACTCGTACACTGAGATACTCTGCTTTTGCCACTTTAAAATCCAGGTTTTTTCATGAGTCATTAGAGAGACTGTAAAAAATATTTCATTCATAACACTGCACTTCTCCTTTTTAAAATACATTTCAGCCTTCTTGTTTGTCAAGAAACATTTGTCATTACTATTGTCAAGGCTGGGCAGTTTGTTTTTTTCCTAAGTGCCCTCAGGGAAATCCTGGTTTGTTAAAGGAGGAAAATGTTCCTCGCAGAAACAGTCAGCAATTAATTAAGCAGAGAATCAGCTTATTTACCTGGGATCCACTGACATGATTCTGCAGTGTGAGAGCTGGGAAACCAAGCAACTTTTTAGAAACTAAATCTAGCTTGGTGGACTAAGAAAGGATGTCTAGATCCTCTTCAGAGATAGTGGCTGTTAGGCGGTGTCCTTTGAAGAACCACCTGATGCCGTGACCCTGTGTCATAGTAGATGTGAGGAAGATGCTGTCCTGGAAATAAGCAGTTCTTCTCCACCTCTCTTGTGTAGGATCTGAAGTTTCTGGTGAGGCCCAAAAGGTGGAGAAGCAAAGGGAAAAGGAAAAAGTGAATATCTAAGTGATAGAAAATGTCTGAGGGGGATTAGTTTTCATATGCCACTGGAATGTTTTAGATTTTAAGATTTTTTGTGTTTTCAAAGAAAGGTAAAATACTGGCTCCCAGCCTGATATCAGGTACAGAAAAAAATACTGGCTTGAAAAATGGCTCAAAAGGATTTTCGAAGCTTTTTGCATCTTGTTGTTGTTCTAATCAAGCTGGTAGTAAAAAACAACTCTTAACCATAAGTAGTGTCAGCCTTGACAAGTCACCATTTTCCTGTTTGCTTCCTTTATAATTGAAGTGCAGAAATAACATAAGCTGGTGTACGCAGAAAACCTGTAGTTGAAATTGGGAAAAGAAACCTCCTGTCCCATGCAGTGCCCTGCTCCAAGGTCCCCATGCTGATTCTCCACTCAGTGAGCCAGGAGGTCTTGGTTGTATTCCCCATTGCCCTGATAGAGGTCATATAAGGAGGTGATGAATTTCATGGGTGACATATAGGAAAAAGTTGAGTTAACATGGACAAGGAAAAGCAGCTGAGACACTGGGAAGGGAGCAAAGTCTGAAAAACTAAGCTCAGTTGAGTACATGGCAGTAAAGAAGGTGAACTGTTCGGGTACAAAAGACAAGAGGATTCAGGGTAGCTGAAGGGGGAATTTCTGTGTTATTGGAAAGATTAAACCAAATAGAGAAAAAAGGGACTGAAGCAGAAGCAGCATGAGAAGAGAAGAAACACGTCTGAGTGTGTACCATCCCAAAGGGCGTGGGTTTGGGTAGGGAAACAGATACCCACAAATACAGAGAGAAAGAAAAACAAAGAATGTAAAGAGAAAAGAGACCGGTGTGCTAACGCAGTAGTGGAAAAGAAAAAAGCAGAGATGAAAGATGCCACATGTGAGAAAAGAAAAAGGGACTGCATAACCCATAGGAATGGACTGCACTATAAATTTGGGCTCAGTCTCGTACTACACAATTATGACCATTACAACAATTTGATGGCATTCAGAATTTTCTGCCTGGAGCCAGTGTAATTTTAATGTCAGAATTTTTAATTCCATCTTTTGGCATTTTTTCTTTCTTTTTGAAAGGTGATGTGTAGTAGGTAACTTATTCTGATATTAAAGTTTTAAGGACAGTATAGGTACACAAATAGTTCTTTCTCCAGAATTTTGTGTTTGTAAACTGGATTATTTTGAATTGTTCATGGGAGAAGTTTTATTCTATTATTTAAGACATTCACTGGTACTTACATTTGCAATCTGTGACTTCTAATAACTTCTACAAAGCTTACAAGGAGCTTGTCTAACTTTGTAGTGTTGTTTTCATATTGGTTGCTTAAATGACCAGACTTTCTGGATCTTGTTTCTCTGAGAAAATACAAACCCAAAATTCAATGTTTGAAGCTGATTTTCATCAGTCTCTTCAAATTCATTATCTACAACAAATTTGATCAGTAGACTAGCTGTTGGAAGGAATTCTTAAAGTTATGAATATTACAGATTAACAATATCTTTTCTGAAATATACAGACACTTGTAACACTTGAGTGGGCCTGATGACACATTAATTGCAAATCATTTGGGCAATTAATGTGAACATTCTTTTTGATTGATCGCATACATTGGCTTTCAAAAAACACTTTGAAAACACTTGGTGCTTGCTGTTAATGCAAGATGCTAGCTACCAGAGTTCATGCTGGACAGATGGCTTATTCTGCATCCATGTGTAAGTGCTCATGTTGGCACATGGGGGCCAATGATACACATGTTTGAAAGATTTGGCATATTTGTTTTTTAGCTGCAGGAGAGAATTCAACTGCTAATTTCACAGTAACTCAGTCTGACACTAAAATTACTTGAGACAGAAGATTATCACAGATTTAATTGGGCTTTGGATCAGCTCCAGGAGGTTTCCATTGATGTCTATTTATAGATTCAGAGCAGACTCTGCAATTAATGTAACAGATCCTCCCAGTGTCTGAAGTATTTAGCCTTTTGTTTCACAAGCATGAACTATATTACAGTAGAAAATAAAACAGATTATCCAACAGCTTTCATGTTATTCATCTTTGATTTGGAAAACACATTTGAAATAATATTGAATTCTATTTTGTCTTTCTTTCCAGTCATAGGATGTACCCATCTTGGGCAGGTTTATGCTGACAGGGATGTTTGGAAACCAGAGCCATGCCAAATCTGTGTGTGTGACTCAGGATCTGTTCTCTGTGATGACATAATCTGTGATGATCAGGAGCTGGACTGTCCCAACCCAGAGATTCCCTTTGGAGAGTGCTGTCCAGTTTGTCCACAAACAACAACACCACCTACAAGAGTAAGTTTGTTCTCAATGTTGTTACTTTGGTGTTGCCGCCTTCTTGATCCATGATCCATCTCTATTGAGATCCATCTTGACCTCAATTCATTTTCTGTTAGATGCTCTTAAACACTTTTCTTTTAAATGTGAAGGCTGTCATTTTCTGATGCTAGGCAAATACTTAGGATGGGCAAATTTTGCCAAATCAATAAAAAGAACAGCTTGAACTTTCACAGAGTTTTATCTTTTTTGTTAAATTCAAGAATACTTCTGTATTCTATCAGAGAATTGGTACCAGATCTGATAAAATACTTAGTCCTTTGGGCTATGCAGCTGAAAGCATGAAGTCCTTCAACTCAGTTTTACATAGACAACAGTCACAGAGAAGTAGTAGAAAGGGACAGAGGGCAACAATTAGCCATTACATTTTTCTTTTTACGGAGAAGCATAGGAATAATGCAAACAGCTTATTTGTTGACTGCATACTCAATCTATATCCATGAAACTAATGCCAACACAGAGTTAAAGAAAGTTAGACAATTTTCGCAGCATATTGCAGGTCTGCATTTCTTATCAACTCAATTCTACATCATCATAGAGTAAATTTCCTTTTGCAGAGTTATTGCTGACTTAATGCCCTGTAAAGGAAAGGTGATTCAAACCCTACATCCCTAATATATCATCGTCTTGTTTATAGACACCAACATTATCTAAACCAGTTGCAGCAACTTAACCTCAGGAAAATCAAGAGTGTTAGTGCATGCCAAGTCCCCTGCCTAAACTACTTCAGTGAGTGAGCCAGCTATACTGAGCTCTAAGGTTATCTGAACATTTCACCCTTGTTTAAGATTCATGAGATTCTGTTAAAGTACATAGATTCCCACAGGCACATTGAAGATTCTTATCCAGAAGATAAAAGAAGAGAGTGACAGAGATGTGTATATGGAAGAGAAATGGAGAAGATGTATTTCTGCAGCTTTATGGTGTATCTGCTTAAACATGAAAGGTCATACAAATATGTCACCTAGTGTTAGTTGCACCATGCTAGTGCAATTGTACTGCTTCCAGGATTACCTGAGCTACTTCACTGAACAGTTTTAGAGGTGTAAATGAGTGGTACGTACAAGCATGCTGGATATTTAAGCACAGCTCCCTCTCTTGCTGAGTCTAGAAACTCTTTTATCAGTTCTGTGGTTCCTGATGACAAAAGACATGTGGACTACTTCCTCTAGCCTCTGTCTTCAATATATAAGAGTTTGGTCAGCCCACTGGAAGCTATCCTGCTGACCTTGGGTGGTGTACAGGGAAATGCCACCTTGAAAGATCCAAGATAGTTTCAGCTGAATATTCTTTGCTACCACTAGCAGCTGAATACATAAAAACTGTTCTGAACTATAACTGAGAATCCGGATAGTAACGTTTAACTGAATTACTAATTGAAAAATAAATAAATTGGAGGAGCAGATCTGAGAAATTAAAATTTGCTACATTATCACATTTAACATGCTGGACTGAGAAGGATACAAGAAAACTGTCTGTTACAGCTTTCCACAGTGGACTTCTGTCCCTGTGTACTCAATGGCAAAACTCTACTGACTTCATTGGTGCCATGTTTTTGCCTACAGGAGAGGTGTAGCTTTGTGAATGAACCATGAAAATGCAGATGAAAGACTGACCATAAACCCCACAGCTTTTAAATATACTGAATAAGAATAAATGGAATTCATTTGATAAAACTATATTCCAATGTTTAAATGTGTTTTCCTCTTGTGTTTATATAAATACATATACAGTTTTCAGTTTTATTTTTATTTTCTTTCTTAATTTAATTACTTTTACTTTTTTTCTAGAGACCTGGAGAAGTCACCCGAGGCCCCAAAGGAGACCCTGTAAGTGCAGCTTTTTTTTTCCCAAGGAAACTAACAAAATCAAGAGCCACTTCCTATAGTGCTGTATATCCCATTCAAGCTGCTGAGATATCCAGCTTTCGTTGATGTCTGCACTGTCTACAGGACTGTGCCATATAGTCATTTTGAAGTAGCCCTTTAGCTTCAACAAAACTCTCAAAAATTTAAACTGGGAAAACAGAGAGAGAGAGTTTAGTCCAAACTCTATTACACCTGGGTTTTTTGATATTTTGCTTCCCAGTAGGGGGAAAAAAAAAAATCTATGGACTCCACTAATAGTATTAATTTTACATTCAGGAATTGACCTGTTTAATATTTCTAGTGTGTTTGATCAAATATCAGCTGCAGTAAGGCTCCAGCAACTAAAAAGTGTTTCCGTGTGTGAATTTTGTCTACTACCTGTGTCCTTCCTGAATATTCAGTTGTGGCCTTAGTTATGTTTAAAAGAGAAAGTTTCCCACCACAGTCACACAGACTTTGTTACAAATGGAAGGATTTGCCCCACAATGCCCTTGCAGTTGGAGGCACATGCTGACGTCTGTCTCTGCTCTGTTTGTGTCTTTGCAGGGTTCTCCTGGGGTTCCAGGCAGAAACGGTGCCCCTGGCCCTCCGGGACAGCCTGGGAGTCCTGGAGCTCCTGGCCCCCCAGGGATCTGCCAGTCATGTCCCAGTATAAACGGAGGCGTAAGTCATCATTACATTCAGCTTCTACCTTGTTGCTCATAAGCATACAAAGCAATGCTGTAGGCACCTAGCCCTTGCACCTTCACACGTACTTTGCGTTCAGTGGCATCTGTCTCTTCTTTATGCCTTTGAAAAGCACAGCAGAGTGGTAGGTGGGGTTTTGTTGTTGTTTTGGGGTTTTGTCCGCAAAATTTGGCTGGAGTGCAATTAAATCTCTGCCTTACCTTATTTTTTAAAACTTTTGGAGCCAGACCTGATGAAGGATTTATGTAACTCAGAAATAATCTGACCATAAAGAAAGTGTGCAGGAGGAAGTACGTGCCCTCAAGCTTAATGGTTAGGGAACTCTCTCTCTTTCCTATATTTTATCCAATGTATGTTTAATAAAGAAACATTCCTAAGAAGCTAGACTGAAACACAGGTCCTCTGCTTGCAGGGAAGTGCCATGTAAGTACTATTTGTCATGTTCCCTCTTATTTCTGGCCCACTGAATCTTGAATTCTCTTCTGAAGAGTTGGGCAGACTCACGAAGACAGCTAATTTTAACTAAAGTTGCTGTACAGTTGGATTTGTTAAGGGAGCTGAGTCACAGCTAGCACTTTTTTAAGAGATGACATCGTCTCCCATGCAATCGAGCAAGCCTGGCTTTACAATACGGGATTGCTTTAGCACAAAACTGTTGAAAATTGTATGTTAAAACAACTGCTACTTTTGAACATAGGCCACTGTTTATAGCTTCCATGCATGCTTCCCACTCCCAGGTAAGGCAAAAACCGAGGAAACAAGTCTTGGTTTTATTTAATTCTGAAAGGGATTGCATCTGAAGGATGGAGCTTCTGGGAGAGGTACTCATGGATTGGTTAACCAGTCTCAAAAGTTAACAATAACATACCAAGAGAGCTACTGGGTTTGGGCTGGCAGATGCAGACACAGGAGAGGGTGATAGGCTGAATTGGTCACCCACTCCAACGCTGTATCAAAGATGGGCTGTTGAATCCTGACGGTTGATATCAGTAGCACAGCAGTCTTCCTGTACCTGGTCAGCAAAGGAGCTGGGTCAACAGTGATTTGGGTTATCAGGCAGAACACTGCATGTATTCAACCTTTCCTGCTCAACTACCTATGTGCCATTAATGCATAAACTGCATTAGTGCCATATTATTCAACTAAGTTTGTTAACATCTGCATAATAAAATCAACATATGCCAATTAAGAGGCTTACATGGGAATTCCTTGAAAAATTGACTGTAGTATTTATAGTTTTCTTTTTTTTTAAACAGCATTTTATGTAGATGGGTGTGTCAGAGATGCTATCTGCTCTCAGAAGGGCCCACAGGACAAGTTTTCACTCCATGCCTTGGACTGAGCTTCCATTTGTTTCAATATAAATTGTCAAAAGCATTGAGGCTTGGCTGGATGGGCTCAAAAGTGATGACTGTATTTGAATTACTTGGAGTGACATAGTGAACAGGAAGGGAGAAAGAAAAAGATGGAAAATGGCATTAGGAAAAAAGTGTAACACTCAGTTTTCTGAGATGCGTGAGTTCCCATGCAAGAAGTAAAAAAAAAAAATTATTTGTAGTTCAGAGGAGGACAGACTTATATGTAGGTAAGAGATTTTTTGCTACAAAATACTCTTAGATGAGCCATTCATTAGTCACAGGTAAAATAAATTAAGAGACTAATAATAAACTGTTAAACTGTTGCATTCTTTAGTGCAACACAAAATATTTTATCAACTTCCTTGATTGACATCTAAGGCCAACAGAAAAGAGGCTGATAAAGAAAATGGGAGAAAAAGCTTAAAAGGCATCAAACAAGAATGAGAAGAGGAGAGAGAAAGGTAATTTTTTGGCTCAGCTGAGGCCCAGCTGTCAAGATGAAACCTGGATGCACACGACGTAGGGACCTGACGTTACCATGACCACAAAAGAAAGATATTGGCTGGGCTTCTTTTATGGATGATTTAAAAATATGGCAACTATATGTCAAACAAGTAGTACTCAATAGGTACAAATGAGTTATTTCCATACATTTGCCATACCAATGTAAGAAAAGACTTACTTGATTTGTAGCAATCACCTTTTTTCTTTTTTTCTTTTTTTTCTTTTTTTCTTTTTTCTTTTTTTTTTTTTCTTTCTGTTTTTCTCTATTTCTTTTACAGAGTTTTTCTCCACAGTATGACTCCTATGATGTGAAGGCCGGTTCAGCTGGTATCGCTTACCCACAGCCCATTGTAAGATGATATAGCCTTTTTTCTGTCCTCTCTTTTTTTTAAAAAAAAAACAATTTTTTTCTGCTTGTAGATTATACCTTGGATGTTTATGTATCCTGATATTAATTTAACAAGATAAGTTTTAATTTAATTTTTGCCTGTCATTGGAATGCAATGTCAGGCAGCAGTTTGCTTGGCAATATCATTCTAGAAAGTACCTATAGATTATCTGGGTTTTTTGCCTTTCCCTCTCTCTCTTCCTTTTCTTACCTTCTTTTTCCTAATCTCTTTCTGATTCACTTTCTTACACTACTTTCTCCCTTGTATACCCTCCTCATTTATCTGCTTTCTTCTACTAATTGCTTCCCTCCTTTCCACCATTTTTTTACCTCTTCCACTGTCCCTAATCTTCCTTTATCCATTCAACAGCATTCTGTCTTTACTCAGTATGATAGTCTATACTTGTTTACTTTTCCACAACTCAAATTTGCCTGGTAACAAGTGAGGAAACCCCTCTTATAATCTTTTTTTCATCCCAGAAGCAGTGAAAGGCTTGTCACTTTTTCTTTTACAATTATCATTTTTTTACCCACAGCTATTCAGACTGTATACTAAGGATGCTGTATCTGCCTGCTAGGACTGGCCCGAGCTTTTCACAGTTTTTTTACTGAGATAAAGCATGGATTGCCTGAAAGAGTTATGCATGAGCTATGGTTCCTGTGAAAAATAAACTTAAATGTCGCACCTCATGATTTTCCTTTTAGGCACTAGGATTTAGAGATATTCGTCACCAATGACATGGAGTGTTCTTGATTCGGGCAATCTGCTATATAGAGGATGGCGTGAATTGCTATTATTTGAAATTGGCTGCTGCTTCATTAAGCATAACCATTATTTTCAGTCCAATGCTGCATAGCAAGGTTTGGGTATCACATGTTGTAACATATCAAGGCAGTTCCAAGCAAACGTGTTATTTCTCAGCGTTCCATCAGATCATCTTGTGAAATAAATGTTACTAATTGTGACAACTCTTTGTCCTGAAATGTAGTTCATTATTTTCTCACCTTTATTTTCATCTGTTTATTTCTACCTTGTTCATTTGCTAATATGATCATCCATGCACTGGTCTTCTTCAACCATCCGTTTTTGTGTTTGTTTATTCATTTATTCATTTTCGGCTCCTCACAGCTGTTGCCCACAGCTTATCATATCATCTACATTTTGCTACTTGGTGTCTTAATATGGGAAGTGCTGAACCAGGCAGATAACCGAGATACCTTTCAGCTAACACACATGGTTATTCCTCTCTATTTTGCCATTTTTCCCTAAGGTGCTTAGTGATTTCTTGTGCTCTGATCCCTGGATTTGGCTTAAAAAAAAAAAAAAATTAATTGGGCTCCCTAGAATGTCTTCAGCCAGAATTATTTGTGTGCTTTCAGGTCATATGCTCTTTTATATTGCATCATGCAATGCATAATTACAAAACCAGTAACAGAGCAGTTGCAGGCAGATGTGACTAAACTCGCTAGAACTAAATAATGTTTATCACTAACACCACATAGATTATTTATTATTTTATAAATTAAATTTACCAATTTTCAACTTAAACTTTCAATTTAAATAAATATCCAAACTGAAATAATTTGGAAGAGTAATAAAATAAAAAATGCCAGCTATAGCACCAACATTTTTCCATGAGTGGTTACCATGCCTGGTATTTCCTGAGTCACACATCTCTCCACTACTGTCTTTCTGGTGGCTTTCCACTGCTTGTAGACTGATTTTGTACTTTACAACCTAGTTTCTCTTTACTTGCTTTCCACATATAATCTCCACGAATTACCTTTGTCTCTTTCCACCGATGCATGTATTGTAACTAAAATAAGCTCATTTGTTCACAGTCTGGAGATGCTGGCAGCAAGCAAATGCCATACCTAACTATCAGTTTATCTCCTCAGTGTGCACCTTGGAAAAAAAAAATAATAACATCTTGTTTGTTTATAGCCATAAGTCTAATCAATTGATTGCAATTGATGAGTTGATGGTTCCAATCCATGCTAAGTCCAAACTTATTTTGTTCCAAATGAGTTCTAACAATTAACAGTAAGGTACTGCTTGTTTTATTCATACATTGAAGGCAACCCGATTTACCCAGACACTAACTGCTCTGCAACTTGGTGTACTTCTTGTCTTAGAAAATAGCAAATATTACAATGATTCTCTTTTTTAGACAAAAGACAACTGTGAACTAATATTAACATAGCATATATGTAGTATAGTAGTATACTATGCTACGTATACCGGTATAGTATAGCTATACTATTAATTTGTATTATCAAAATTAGTTCCTGTAACATCTATAATACATGGCCTATTCTGACACCATATGACAATATCCCATAAACACATCATGTGCAATATTAAGCTATGGAATATACTGACGGTACTGCAGCACACAGTGATTCTCATGTAATTCATAGACTTCAATTGTTTTGGCTGTATCAAACCCATGAAGGGTTTAATTTAACAAAAGCTTTTTTAAAGAACTACATATAGCTGCAGCAAACAAGTGTGCTAATTTTCAAATGTTTTCTGTTTTGCGGTATCAAATGCTTTTGTGGTTGTTGCTACAGGAAGTAGAAATATTAGTACTCTTCCCAAATTGAGAATTTCCTTAATAATATTTTATTCCCTTTTTACCAGTTAAAATAAGGAACAGTAGCACTGATTTGAGTTAAAACATGTATATTGAGATTTCATCCTCTGAGTCCTTCGGTTAGTCCAGACATCATTTATTTTTTGTGGCTTATTACTGTTAAAGTTCAGAAAAGATTTCAGTGGTGAAAACGCTTGCCTTACTGACAAGTAACAAAAATATGGCCTTAATTCAGTATATCTGTAAGTCCTAAGAAGTCGAGGGTCATAAACAGAGTTTGTCATGCAAAGTTCTTCTAATGGGTTGTATGTGTAATATAGCTCCTGAATGCAGGTGAGAAATTTTAAAATTAGTTCTAGAAAGCAAAATCTGGCATCAACAGACTAGCAAGCAAGTTTATTGGTACACTTTGCTCCACCACTGAAGATGTAGGATTAGGCTAAAAGCTCAGTTACATGGCAGAGAAGCTGAAGCTCATTTACTCTGTTCCACAAAATTAAGAGTTCCAGTTATCTATCCTCCCAGTTTAGGTAGCTGAAAAGCTAAGCTGCAAGCATCCTTCTGGGGGTCTAGGGAAGTGGAATAGTAACTCAAAAGAAAAAATTACAGCTTTAAAAATATCTTGTTCAGTACATTAGCTAAGGCTGCAAAGAGAAACCTTTTCTGAAGAGGCTGTAGGTACTAGACAATGTTTTTATTAGTGTGTATACATATTGCTTCGTCTTTTTTACTGCACCAAGTACATGTCACTGTGGATTTTTCTCTGTTCTAATATGTAAAAATTTATTTCACAGTTATTGATGACTCTTGGAACTACATTACACTTTATAGCTATATTACATTAATATAATGACTATTTTTTAATCTACACTATAGACTGGCTTTCCAGGACCCCCTGGCCCCAGCGGTCCCCCTGGCCCACCTGGTCATGCAGGTCCACCTGTAAGTAAAATTAATCTTTTCATTATCATCTCGTTCTTTTATACCAACCTCTCATTTTCTCTGCCATAAGCATTAGGTAAATTTTCAACTGATTAAATCTATGCTGAAGAATTTTATGGATAAGTGTCATCTTCTATTAATTGGGCTGTACCATCTATGCACCACCAAGACTCAATACTGTGCTTGCTTAAGTCTGTGTGTTCCCCTGCACTTTCTGCAATTCTGGAGGGTGTCAGCTAAGGTTGTCTTAAGACATGCCACTGCCTATCATCCTCTGTTAATGTTCCCAAATATTTATTCATACAAAAATTTTACAGGAGATATAAACTGGGAATCCTAATACAGGTCCCATGAACACACAAAGGCTCTGAGTTTTTTGATGTACATGTCCTTTTAGAGGAGTAGTTTTAATTCTGTTTTGATGGAGGTGTATTCTTCTTGGTTCTGCTAATTACAGCTTTGGTCATTTGGTGACAGTTCTGGCTGATGTTTTCCTTATGATTATGAGATTATTATAAAATATGGTAGCACCATGGAATAATGTGTGTAACTGTTCATCTCTTAACTGTTTTTTTGCTGCATTATAGGGCTCTGCTGGATACCAAGGTTCCCCTGGAGAACCAGGACAACCTGGCCCTCCTGTACGTATACATTCGTATATATATCACTATATATGCTAAAGGCATGATCTTACAAGCATGTGTCTGTGTCATCACTGGAGTGGATTGAAATTTTACAGTTCATTCTGTCTTTTTACTATGATGTATGTCAAATGTACAACAAGTATTTTATGACATCTAATGCATTTTTTATTTGAAAGAGACTTCATATTTATTAATATATTTAATATTAATTATTTTTCTACAGGGACCTCCAGGCCCTGTTGGAATGATAGGCCCAGTTGGTCCACCAGGAAAAGATGTAAGTTCACTATTATTCATCCAGTGATTAATAAATGGGAAGAAAGAAAGTTCATTAGATGGTAAGATAGCAGAGCACATTAATACCATTGCGTTTAAGAATTTGTAACCTCTCCCTGTTTCTCAATTTGACAACATGACTGTAAGAAACTAGATTTGGCTTACATTAGGTATAAATTTCCATTCCAAAAAAGTTTCAATTTTATCAGGCAATTTAAATGACACAATTAAAAAAAAAAAAAAGAGAGAGAAAAAGAAAGCCTAAGCATGAAATACCCTCTTTTGATCTGGTGCAAAATAAATTAACAATTATAAAGAAAAGCAGACAGTATTGGTAGTTGTCTGCTCCCTTTGAGTCTTGCTTTGAGAGTTAAGGCTGTTAAAACCATCTTTTGTGTCACAGCTGGGAGTCCTGAATAGGTATGGTACAAAGCAAGACAACCAGCTAAGGTTTTTGTCCATTTTGAATGTTTCACCATGAAAAATAAGCTTTCTGTGATAATCTCTTCCTACAAGATGGCTTGAAATAAATCAGATGTTAACTGAAATCTTGTTAAAAATTTCGTTTATAAATTCTGGCAACTTTTCAGAAGGCAGTCATGTACTGAACCATCACCCTGCTATAATTTTCCCCATTGTATTCAGTAGAAAGTTCACCTGCTTATTCTGACTTGCCTTCATCTACTAGTTCTTTGCCAGTAACTGAAGCAATAGATAAGCAATCAAAACATTTTACTTTCTTTCGATAGGGGGAACCAGGAAGACCAGGCAGAAATGGAGACCGTGGAATCCCTGGATTACCGGTATGGAAAAACCCCCAATACCAATGGTCTTCTACTCACAGGTTTTATCTTCCCATTATAAATTAGTCAAGTGAACACAATACACAATAAACATGGGCTTGTGCCCTTCATACAATAAATATGGGATTTATTCAGCTTTCTATATTTGTGTGCTTAGGGTCACAAGGGACACCCTGGAATGCCTGGGATGCCTGGGATGAAAGGTCAACGAGTAAGTATTGAGTATATTGAGTATAGCTGAGTCTGTTACTCTACTTGAATTACAGTGTTGCACTGTTATGCTCTTTCAGTCATCAATTCCCAGCTAAAGAGACTGATTCATAGAATTAAAGATCAATTTCTGGACAATGTAATCTGACCTTCCATAACCTTCCATTGAGTGTCGATCTGCTGGAGGGTAGGATGGCCCTACAGAGGG